TAATACTCCGCCCAGATGAAACGCGTAACTGGTAATATATTGCATTCTATATTGCGAGGTATCTCGCCTGTAGCCAACAAAAATCGTATGAGCACAAACAAGTTTGGCTGCCTCCATTGACCGAGGTCGAAGTCACATCAACGCCTCTCGGGCTAAATTTCATCTCAAAAGGTGCCGCGTATCTCATAATGGAATTCTGAGATGACGGCGTATGATAACTCGAACACCCAAATTGCGTTACCATTTGTCCGCACGGGCATTCCGACTTGCGGTCTGCCGCACTGTCCACGCGGCATGCACCCGGGATGGATGCGTTTCGCGTGGAGCCCGCAGGCTGTGCTGACGATTCCGCCGGTGCAAGCTTAGCTCCCACACCATCAGCACTGCTGCAACAAGCACATCTCCCACCACGTCGACACTATCCATCAATTGTCACACGTGCCGCGCTAGCTACCGGCCTGTACGGATGCAGGGGGGCCCCGCCCTTTTCCCGGCTTCGAGGAAGCCGACACCCGACTTGTCTTAGTAGGTTAGAGAGCTTCGAGAATTGGTGTCGTACAGACCCTTGGATGATCGGTCCCAGAATGTTCTTGCGAATAATTCCTTGACAGCCATAACAGTTTCCAAGGGGTCTCATTATGTTTGCGTACAATTCAACAAGTATTTCAATACTGTGTAGCCGTCGTACTACAACAGCTGCCTTCTCCCTGCAGGAACCTTCTCCCTGCAGGAACCAGCGACCTGCCTTGCTGTGTTCGGGGTGCGTGGTTCTTCCAGTAACTAGTGGTCAGGTTTAGATCGGAATCGTAAGAGATTTATGGATGGATGGATGGATGTTACAAGCTTCAGCGAGCTCGTACGGCCCAAACGAACCCGGAGGCTCATGAACCGCTTTGACAGCGCCGTCGATAGGGAAAAGATAAAAAGAGAAAAAGTAAACGAAGCAAACAAAACAAACAAATAGGGGGGTCCTTGTGAAGCAGCTGCCCGCGTTTCCAAAGCACGTATGGTGTTGGATTGTAAGGTGCCCAAGTACGTTTGCGAGGAAGAGAATGTGGCCAGGCTGGAGTGAAAGTGCAGTGGCATATTGGAATGTGAGATTAGCGTAAGCGAGTTACAGGGCGTTTATTGCACGGGCGAATTTGCGTGCAAATCTTTCACCGTAGCATCAGTCCTCAGTTCACTTCTTGGAACGAACATCAGCATAGGTCCAAGCCCTCTCGCTTGGAGGGATATGCAAACAAACATCCTGATAGGGGTAAACTCGCACGCTACCGAGCATTCAACCGAGCACATGCATGCTTAGTTGAATGGTGAGATGCGACCCCCCCTTCATTTCGTGCTCGGCAAGCCTGCCACCGTGTACCGGATATGTTGGCGATGTTACAGAACGCTGCACCTTGGTTTCTGTGCGCATTGCGTACGTTGCTCGACCCCGCCGACCAAAACTACACGTGCCCAACTGAAGACATTCCCGGTGGTTGTGCAGCAGCTCTTGAGGCTGTTCATTTCGTGCTCGGCAAGCCTGCCACCGCGTACCGGATATGTTGGCGATGTTACAGAATGGTTTCTGTGCGCATTGCGTACGTTGCTCTTGAGGCTTTGTTGGATGAAATCCATCCT